CTGCTGCTGTTGCTACTGCTACTGCTGCTGCTGTTGCTACTGCTGCTGCTACTGCTACTGCTACTACCACCACTACCTCTGCTACTGCTAATGCTGGCAAGACGATGCCTCACAGGCCTTTGTGTTTAGCTCGTCTGGGTGTCGAGGCAGAGCAAACAACTCGACGGTTGCAGCGGCTCGGCAATTCACCACTCTGCGATCCATGTACTTTGAACCGCCGAAGCCCAACCCATGAAACCTGGAATACCTCTCAACGTGATTTTTCTGGTTCTCGTTTATATCAAGCAACGTCATGGCTAGATTCCATTCCTCATGCGATAGTTAGGTGCTTCAGGCTGTTGTCCTCGTGAGTGCTTCGAACACTTGTTCTCTTCATGACGGGCTTTAGTGGCACTGGATCATGCTTGTCGGATACGGCTGAATGCTTTCTCACATCAGTTGTCTCTGAGAGTTGCCCCAGCCCCTCGCCCGGCCGTCCAGCGTCGGGCAGATTTCCGAGCATCCAACTGAAAGACACGCCCCAAACCCTAAAACCCTAAACCCTAAACCCTTCTGACCCGTCAGCTATTGTATCGTGCAGCTCCCTGTGAGCCGGTTGGCTCTTCGGGGTTGGGAAAGAACGCTGGAGATTTGGGTATAGAGTGCTGGAGGAGCAAGCTTGCCGAACTTGAGCTACTGCTGTATTCGTGTGCTCGAGGTGAAAATGATTCCGCGATCTCGGCTGAAGCGCGAAGACATATTCACTGAAGAGGTGTGCCTTGGCATGCTTTTGCAGCGCCAGCAGCCTGCACCCCCAAGCCCGGCGAGATCTCTCCAGAAGCCCTAAACCTTGCCATGTGGGCTCTTGATGCGAAGGAGGCAGACAATCCTAAAGCCTAAGCTTTTGATCAAGACCTGGTAAGATCGTGAGCTGGTGACCCAATCACATGCGCTCCCTAAACCCCAAATTCCTGAACCCAAACCCTTAAACCTGCTTCAAGGAATACCACAAAGCGCCTTGCCCACCCAAACCTCATCCGGCTCTTCGCCTCCTACCGGGACGAGTCGAACTTCTATCTTGCTGTCTGGACGCAACAACGGGATATTCGGAGTAGAGTTCAGGGTTTGGGTTTAGGGCTTGGGGTTTAGGAGGCTGGATGCAAAAGCAGATATGCAGTCAGCCCTCGCTTTCGACATGAAGGCAGCATTAAATAGTCATCTTCCGAACACGAACATCGGCATGTGAGTCGTGATGTCATTGGTATCCTTAATGCTGATGTTCTCCATTGAAGGGCCCCGCCATGTTTGCATTCAGCTGAAGCGGATCTTTCAGTGTGCGGTCAACTTTGGGGCGGTTTGCACAGTTTTGGCTCGGCTTGAAGATTTTCCGGTTGCAATTCCCAGGCCGTACACCCTGAACAGAACGCATCGGAGGGACTGTGCACTCTTTCTGCCAAACTCAGGTCATGGAGTTTTGCAAAGGCCGGTGTCCGGGACAGGGGGGCTTCGGTTGCGAGCAACCCTAAACACCAAACCAGATGATTTTGCTGCTTTTCTTCCTCCAGGTGGCAGCCTCTCCGAGCTTCTCCAGACGAGGGGGCTGGAAAAGGACGAGCTGCTGGGCAATTCAGGTGGTAGTATGCCGGATATGCAGTAGCTTATCATAGCTTATAGTCGATCGTAGCATATTCACAATGACAAACTTGCCAACAGGTTCAAGCAAATAGCAGTGTCGTATCGTAGGTGGTAGATTAGAGTAGATTTTAGTCGATTCTACAGTAGTAGGTTGCAGTACGTTGTAGTACACTCTGTAGTCTGTAGTGAGCTAGAGTGTGTTACCGTATATCACAGCATATTCACCAAATAATGGTTTCTCAGGTTCTCGCCTCACAGATCAGTGACTTCCCTTGTTAGGGTAGCCCGGAGCCCATCTGAGATCCCCGAGACACCACCATTGAGCCAAGGATGGGCATTTGGACTGTGGGGCTTCCTGCAGACACTGACCTGAAACAGAGGGCAGGGGGTTGGCCCTGGTTTTTCTGATAAACTCAGGTGTCCTATACTAGCAACCCTACAGTAAACCCTAAACCCGCCTGTGAGCATAGCAATCTGCCATGCGAGAGGGAAAAAGCCCTAAACCCTAGCATTGCTGAGAGCTTCGATTGGGTTTCCAGCAGCTGCGGTTCCAAGCTGGACGGAACACACGGGCGAATGCACGTAGAACTCTAGCAGTTTTATGTGGACCAGGGGTTAAGGTAGCTGTTGAGAACGGGATCCATAGAGGTGGCTTGGGATCTTCCCCCCCCACATGAGCCGGACTATTCACACCATTCTGCAGAACACGATCACAAACAACGGGCAGATATGCTTTTGTGTGTGTATGGTTCTAGTGCAACCATCAATGCCTTAACCAAGCCCCTCAACCACTTGCCACAATTCTTGCTTTCACCGATGCATCGGGCAACACTTTCGAGCATCAAGCGCGACCGACGGAACACCATGTAGAACAAAGCCAGTGAAGCGAGTTGCAGACATTTCCAAACACTGTTCGAAAAACCGGTCGGCCTCCCTGCGCGCCGCCTCCAGCTGTCAACATCTAAGCCAATCTCAGCGCATTTCGGAGCTCCGTCAATGTTCTTCTCAGGCCTTGGTCTCGTGGTTCTTCTAAGTCCTGCTACGGACGTGTTGCAGGGGACAAGAAAGCCCTTGTGGCTGCGAGGGGGTGAAGCAGATGGATGTCCGCGTGCCTGTTTGCTGCGGCATGAGCAAGTTTGGCCAGAAAGGGCCCTAAATCCTAAACCCTAAACCCTAAACTCAGGGTGGCAAGTGGATTCTGCCGACCTTAACTGCTAGGTGGAAAAAGGTGCTGAAAACAAAAACCCAGGGTGGTTGACTGCTGTTGCCTCAGTGCAAGCGGTGTCCTCGGCTATACCTCTCCTGGACAGCGAGAGTGAGACTCCATTTGTCGGGCAACCTGCAGTCATGTCCACCGTGTGGTTCGCAAGCCATGAGCCCCAAAGCATTTTAGACCCTGAACTCTAAACTGACTCTAAACCTAAAATCCCACCATAGTGGTTGGATGCATTTACTGGTACATAACCCTGCTTCGCGACTCGCTCAGCCATTCAGGAGGCAAGCAAAAACCTTAAATCCTGAACTCCGCCTTAACCCGAGCCCTCAAGCGCAGCTGTTCTGACTTGAGGAGATGATTGCCAGGTATGCCTGGCAGATGCTGTCAGGCTCTGGGGCTCCCACGGGTTTGGAGTTCTTGGGTTACGAACGGGTCTGACGCTTCGAGTACCAGAGAGAGAGAGAGAGAGATTCAGGGTTAAGTGCTGAGGGTATGTGCGCTGCAGTCTCTTGTCGAGGTTGGATTCCCTTGGGAGCTCTGCAGGTTTGCAGCTGTGGGGCTGGGGTTGGAGTTGCCCTCATTCCCTGCTTTCCTGCTGTGTTTTGTTGTGATTTCCGCTGTCTCCACCCTTCAAGTAACCCTACTTAAGCCGTGCTTGACGTCTTCCAGCACGAGTGCTACAAATCCGAAGCATCCCGGAGCCCTTCAAGTGATACTGTACCTAAAGTAACCCGTTTAGTAACCAGAAGTGCTGAGTTCGGATGTTTAGGGTTCTGGGCACAAGGACATCTTGGGCTTACGAAAGAAGTCAAAGCTGACATTTTTGTTGGTGAGTGATTATGATAGTGATGATTATTACCTTAGCAATCGCAGCACCATTAGCATTCATTACCGAGAACAAATCTTCGGGACCTTTGCAACTAAAGGCCAGGGCAGAAGCAGACTCATTTGCATTGACGTTGAAACTTCGCAGGTTGGAGGCCTTGGTGTTCCCACAGATTTGTTGGCACTAGAACTGCTCATGTTTTGGCCACTCATGGAGTGTGGTTGCAAGGCTCAAGGGGTTTTTCCAGAGGGAGGTACAGTCACGTTTCCTTTTTTTGCAGTTGTTGTCGCTGCCGTGGTCGCTCTTTGTTGCTTCATCTACATTGCTCCTGCTGCTGCCGACGTTGCTGCTGAAGTCTTGTGAAAGGAGCCAATAGGTCCACGAGACACTTCATTTTAATAGTACAGCTCTTGCGGCATTCTTTCATCGCGAATATCATTGGTATTCGTGCTATTAGTGTATTGTCGAGAGACGGGGATTGGTGCGATTGCAGCGGCTTTCGCTATGAAGCGAGCCTCACTGAAGCTGCACTTGACAGGCATAGCCTATCTCCACTATCACCGTATCGTCCACCGCCACTGGGCTGCAAGACCTCTAATACCCCGAAGCCATAGACGGAAAAAAATAAATCACAGAAAGCTATGTTCATAGCTCTGAACCAAGTCAATCGGGCTTTGGAACCTGGTGCGAACACCTGAAGACTAGTCCGTAGATCGATTCAAGTTCTCGGTGGCTCGGGGGATCAGATCGGTGTTTGGACTCCAGGGGTTTGGGGGTCGGAACAACCACATACGAATATATACGAATAGCATTTCTTATAGCCCGTACTGTAACTATATTAAGGCCCCGATATGAGAGATATTTTTCCCGAGTTGCATTGGGGTTTGGGCTGGGGGCTCAGCGGGGACCCTGTCTGAGGGCGTTAGTGTCGGGGATAGTACGTAGGTGTTTGCAAGTGTTCCAAAAAGAAGTCCCGAATCAAGCAGTCAGTGGCTTGTTGAATGTGTCACGCCGACTCAAACCCGTGAGACCTCCGCCTGACTTGTCCGAGTTGTGAGAGCGTAAGCAATGCGTCCTCGCATACCATGGTCACCCGGAATGGTGCATTGTAGGCAGGTGCTGCATTTAAAACCCTCAGACGTCTCGGATCGCCTAGCCGTCAGAGTCGAAAGCTTGAACCCATGCTAGTATTGCCTCATATGCCTGGCATTTCAAAGCATGCACTCCCCAACCCTGCAAAATCCCCAACCCGTAGCGTCATCAGCAGCAAATGGAAGTATGCTGCTGGTTGTCCTCTGCATCCTCTCACTCTCCTGCTCCAGTACCGGAACCAGTCGCACCCGTAACGGCCTATGCCCAAGTCCTCCGGTGGTTCCTTACCAGAATGGGCTCCTCCGTACTCCTCAGCCGGACTAGCCCCACAGGTCGTGATGGCAGAATTCACCAGGGCTCACCACTTCCCTTAAGCCCTTGAAGGGGAAGCCTCAGCTGGAGCAGGAGACATCAAGTTGGAGAACTACATGAAGGTTTCCAAAGCGGTCCGGACCTCAGCTTTTGGAGGGGGCATTTCAGACCCAGGGCCTGGAAAGACGGCAGTTTTAGGGTTTTGGGGTTTCGGCTTCGGGGTTCCCCTTGATGTCTTCAAGCTGGCATGGAGGTGTTAAGACGGCCATGGCCTCCCGAAGCCCCGAAACTATCAAGAGGAGTATGACATACCACAGGATATGATGACATGAATTTACCAAAACACCTCCAAGCCCCCTATCAAAACCGTTTTCAACGAATCTTTGCCGAGGAGTACGCGGACATCAAGCTTATCGACTTTGGCCTGGCGACTAAGCAAAGGCCTCGGAGCGTCATCTTCCTGTCCAAAGCAGAGCCCTCGTGACAGGGGGTTTGTGTTTGGTGCTTCGTTTACGGCTTGACTTGGGGTTTTTGAGGGCTGAGGGTTTTAAAGTCTAAGTAGATGGGACGCCGATCCCAAGCCCTGTTCTAGCAGCTGAGGGAAAAGCACATCATTTACCAAGTTATTCTGTTGAATGCCGTATTTGATTGCTGCATAGATTTTCAGCCAAGTGCTGCAAAGCCTTCGTGGCATTGGGTTCCACTCGTTTTTGATTGCGGTAGCAGAGGTTTCGGGTTTAGACGAGTTCTCAGGATAAACCCTAAACCCTAAACACTTGTACATAGTGGCAGTTGATCTGCGACTCACGGCCCACACTGGGTTTATCCACGGCAGGGTTGGGGCTGGTTGCGCGTCGTCGTAGCTCAGCTTCTGCTTGCGAGTCCTGCACCCTACACGCTTCCTAAACGTAGGCCATGCGGCTTGCTTTCAGACGGAAGAGTGTTTGGGCCCGGGACTTGCTCACACGGCTTGTCTTGGAGGGCAGTTTCCCTGCAGTGCGACTTGGTCAGCGAAGCGGGTGGGAACAAAAACCCTCAATCCTCAAGCCTTAAACCCTAAACCTTTTCGCCAAGATGGTTGCGGCTAAGGCTCAAGAGAGGCACCAAGCTGGGAGACGTCGTGGGCACCGCTTCTTGGCCTGGCACTCTCAGCTGATAGTTTCTCTCACACCCCACTCCAAAGCAAAAAAGCAAAGGGCCTAAGGCACCTTGTCATGATATCCTTGCAGATCCCCGGAAACATGTAGGCCCAATGTAGGCGTTTGGGGGTACAGTTAGACCCTCAACCTGAACCCCCAAGCCCGGCATGATGTCCCTGCGCATGCTTTGCAGGCCACATCGCAACACAAGTCTGCAAAAATGAATCCGCAACTTGGGCAGAGGCAAACCTAAAGTCTGCAAGTGTTATTGTTGGAAGTCGACCAGGCCGACATAATATACATCGAAGCTCGTGAAAGCCTGTGAGTTGAAACCTGGCACAAAGATGCCTGATCCCGAGACAGCACGTCCCTTCGTCAAGAAGGTTTTGACAATGGCCCCAGAAGTGCGGTGTCGAAACTACGACGAAAAGGTCGCCGCCCGGCATCACAAATTTCGAGGGAGTCTGACAATTTTTGAAGTCCGAGGTTAGCAGACTTTAGCTGTCTCCAGATTGCTGTGGTTTTGAGGCTTCGCAGGTTTCAGGCGTAGGATGAGGTGCTATGTGGGCGGCTCAGGCTCCTGAGGGCAGTTCTGTGGATGGGTTGAAGTGGGTTCGGCGTTCCAGGGTCCTTCAGTTGGAGATATTGATATGGCAAGGGTGGTCCCGGTACTGACAGCGCTGACAGCACCAAGATTGCACAAGTCATGCCTCTCTTTAGAGTCACAATGTAGCTGAATTTCTTGGTGAACGCAACCTCAGCTGATTGTGGTACTGCGGCTGCAGATGGACTGAAGAAGCCATCATGACCTTCACAGTAGTTTGCGTTACAGGTGGAATGCTTCGGGTGCTGTTGCCATGATTGTGCAGGCTTGCATTGTTACCCCATGTTGTCACGTTGGCACCCTTCTTTGCAAGGATGTGTGGGGTACAGGCATGTGCCTGTACATGTGTGCCGTCGTCACTTGCCTGCACGAGGTCTTCTTAATGGTGGTGTGTGACTGCGAGACTGAGGGGAGAGAGAGAGAGAGAGAGTGCAAAATTCAAGTGGACAATCTAGACAGTGGGAGCAATCTAACACGAGATCAATCCCTTTCCACA